TTACATTTTAATATATATATATATATATATATATATATATATATACCTTATCTTACCAAACCCCAAACGGTAGTATATGTAAAATAATAATATAAAAATGTAATAATAATAATAATAATTTTAAAAAATAATAATAATCAAGTTTGTTATATACAGATTGAAATAAAATAAAAATATACGACAAGAAATGGTAACACTTTACAATAAGGTGAAATTAGCTAAATTTAGCTAATGCATTATGCATTTACAGCATTTATTAATCCAGGTTAATGTTAATTTATAAATATAACATAGTAAATTATTAATTAATGTTTGTGGAAAAAACACTAAATGTTAGTTTATACAGCTTGAAATGTTAGAAATGTATATGTAGAAAGAACAGATTAATAAATGCTGTAAAAGTACGGTTCATTTTTAGTTCACGATACCAAATGAATTAACTAAGGTTAACAAATTGAGCCTTATAGTAAAGTGTTACAAATTTGTGTATAACACAGTCTTGTTGCATTGTGAACATTATGTTGAGATGAGTAATGGTATGTTATTTCCCATGGTGCAAAAATGGCAGCCACAGACAGTTGGCTGGATGTTTTAAAACACCAGGATGTGGATTTTGTCACAGCCCCTTGACGGCCCTCTTCAGGCCTCGTGTGCAGACAAAAGTGCTAAGCTCTGGAGGGCCGTCCAGACTGTGTGTTTATGTATGAAGAGGGGCTCAGACAAAAGTATCCATGGTGACACAGTGATCTGTAACTCATGCGCCAGCAAATGTGTCCCATTTCCCTAAAGCGTCTGTTCAGTCGTCTCTGTCTCTATGTATCTGTCTCAGTCTGTCTATTGATTTCCTCTCCCACCTCTCTATCTCATTCACTTCTGTTTCTCTCCACTGTTCATCTTTTTCCCATAGACTCCTCATGCCACCATTTCTCGCTGTCTGTTTTTTGTCATTCTTTCTGTGAGACTGCAAGAAGGAAGGGACACATTATGTTAGCTGAATATTTTACTCAACACCGTCTACATGCGTCTGTTAATTGAATAATAGACAGGGTGAGTCTCCGTGGTAACGTGCATTAGTGAGGCAGCATGGGAAATGTAGGCAAACGAAGTGCCTGCAGTACCTTCAGAGTCTTTAGATATGTAGAGGGATAGCTTGGTGCCGTAGGGGATCCGAATACAATCTGGACCAGGGATGGAAAAGAGCAATATATCAACCCAACCCACACACAGATTAAAAGACCAATGCATTGTAAGACAATACACAAACACAGGTTGATGACTCACATACGAAACTCGCTACCCTTAAACAGAAGAAATACAACATCATATACTTAGGCAAAATCGTCCAATATCACACACTCAAATCCTGAACGCAAATACCCAAGTTTAACTTCTATATTAAGTTCAATAGCATGGGAATTCAGTTTAATCGGTAAGGTAGAATATGTACATGTTCTATCAAGAGCAGAAGCCTACCATCTCCAAGCGGCGAAGGGAAGACGGGCATCTCGTAGCCGGTGGGAGTCTGAGGGGAACTCTGGGAACTAGTGTCTCTGGAGCTACAGTTAGAGGCAGAGTTTATAGGTGCTGACGAGATGAAATAGATATCAGACTACAGAAAAAAAAAGAGAGATAGAAATAAGATAAAAACAATGAGAAATGTGACATGACTGATACATGTTTGGGATGGAAATCTATAATTTATTGTCATACAGAAGAATGCATCATATAAAAGAGATGATACTGTCATCAAAACATTTTCTACTGTTGTTAATAAGTTTTCCATGTGTTAAATCTGTGTTAACTCTTTTCTAATAGAGTGTATACTACCATTCAATAGTTTGTGGTCAATAAGATTTTTTTTAATA